CTTGGTAAGTACTCCTTAGCAGTTTTAACCTTTTATGCTTCCGCTCCCCCGCTCAATCAGTCTAAAGTCTATGCATTTGGGAGGAGTCCCTCCCCCACTTGCCTTATCTTCTGTTCTGTGGGGTGGGGGTGGGGAGCTTCTTTTCTTTTTAATCAATACTTAACGACTCACGTTCATAGTTGGTCCACAGACCTCGTTTACACTCCATTTCACGCTCGATCTCCTGCGCTTGCCCCGGTCAGCGTCACTTAGTCCATTCGGTCTCTCAGCACGAAGAACCATCAGAGCGGAGAGGTGCCTCAATTCTCCAGCATTACGCTGTCGAAGAGGCAACCTCTCAAAAGCTCCATGGCCAGGGTCCCTTCAGCCGGGTCCCTGGGGGTGTAGTGAGCCTGCACACCCCCTCCTTCGGCTGGAGTGCAGCTTCACCCCCGGGAGGTCCGGGAGGTGAGTCTGCTAGCGTGCTGCCATCAACCGGAAGTCAACTCTCCAGATGTTTTTGAGAAACCAACAACCATCGCACAACAGGCACGGCTGCCTCACTATGAACCCCAAGCCAGTGGCATTCCAACATTCACAGCCTTTGCATACAGAGGTTACATTTCAGCCTCTGACCACCCTCTCCTCCTCCATTACTCCCTCTAATCCCCCCAAGACTCTTAAGAAACTCACTCTAGTAATCACCAGGACACATTTCACTTGACCAACCTGTATATACAGTGAAGAACCCCTCCCCCCCCGATCTTGGGTTTCCAAAACAAGAGAGAGCAATGGAAAAGGCAGAGGTGGCCATTAGGGAAGGCTTGCCCACGATCACTTTCAGAGGCTTTAAAACCCACTTTTCAGCACGGACCCACAGGTTAGGAAACATCGCTTTAGATCACAGGAAAGGCTGTGCCGGGGCTCAGAAGGCACTGGCTTGCATTAAAGCTATGCAGGGCACAGTGAGGAGGGGAACTGGGCAAGACTGAGCGCAAAAGCTACTAGGGTCAAATCCGCCCAGAAGCAGCAATGCATGCGTGTGTACTGCATAAACTCCCACTATTTCTGGGAATCTGATGCTAAATGATAAACATGGCTACCCGTTTGAAAAGTCAGCTTGCTCATAGCACAGACTGTCATGGAATTAGGGCCTAGAGTGAGGCTCAGTCCTCTGTAAAACCCATGTGACTTTAATTTCTACAGTAATTAGCCTCAGTAGTTGAATCCCTGTTCCCCAGGAGGCTACAGGCCTCAAGTGCTGTGGCCTTTGGATAGAGATAACCCTGGACATGATTTTCGCCTCACATGACTTTTCCCTTCTGGGAACGTTTACACATTGCAGAAGCCAGGATTCACTATCAAATTCTAAACAGATAGAGTATCTGTAACTAGCTTCCTCGACTCTCTGAGTCAACCTAGCTTAACCCAGCTTTCCTTGATCTTCCTGACCCCAGAGACAGAAAGCATGGGCTGATTGCTTTTCGTGCACGTCAGAGATGTCAAATGCTCGTCACAGAATTGATTGACAGTTACATTCGCTCTTATGGTTGGAAAAGGGTATTTAATGCCTGAATTTAGTTTTGTTTCTTGTTCTGGCCAACCACCTCTGTTATGGGTCTTGACAGGGCAGCCAAGGATATCCTTTGTAGAATTACAAGGGCACTATTTATGTATTGGGGTTGTGTTGACATATTCTATGGTGAATGCTGAAATCCTACAAAAGCGTTTTCTGACTTAAGAGTGTGTAATAGAATAAACTGAGTTTTGGTTTAGAACAATTCTCTCTCTCCCTCTCTTGATGCAATTGGGAAGCCAGCTTCTCTCCCTCCCCAAATGAACACAGTAGGAGTGGGAGTGCAAGGCAAGGTTCCTGCACCCCTAATTTCCCCAACACAGGTGTTTAAAACAAGTATTACAAAAGCATCAGTCTGCAAAGGAAATGAACAGTCCAGAGACAGAAAGAATGGGCTGAGCTTTCCGTGCACGTCAGAGATGTCAAATGCTCGTCACAGAATTGATTGACAGTTACATTCGCTCTTATGGTTGGAAAAGGGTATTTAATGCCTGAATTTAGAATTATCCTGGTGACTTTCGCATTTTTCCGTCACAGAATTTATTGACAGTTACATTCGCTCTTATGGTTTTGTTTCTTGTTCTGGCCAACCACCTCTGTTATGGGTCTTGACAGGGCAGCCAAGGATATCCTTTGTAGAATTACAAGGGCACTATTTATGTATTGGGGTTGTGTTGACATATTCTATGGTGAATGCTGAAATCCTACAAAAGCGTTTTCTGACTTAAGAGTGTGTAATAGAATAAACTGAGTTTTGGTTTAGAACAACTCTCTCTCTCTTGATGCAATTGGGAAGCCCGCTTCTCTCCCTCCCCAAATGAACACAGTAGGAGTGGGAATGCAAGACAAGGTTCCTGCACCCCTAATTTCCCCAACACAGGAAATGAACAGTGAAACCAGTGATCCCTCTAAGCTGAGTTAGTGTGAGCTAGCTCACAGTCTTTTAGCCTCCGGCTCACACATTTTTGTCGTAGCTCAGGAAGGATGGCCCCAGAGCAAACTAATTTATGCAGTAGCCAAACCACCTGCTCACAACTTTAATGCCAGTAGCTCAGAAAGTAGAATTTTTGCTCACAAGACTCCACAGCTTAGAGGGAACATTGAGTGCAACTGAAATCAGTGGGCTCAGAAGGGTGCTTAGGATGGCTGCTCAGGATGGCACTGGAAACCCATCAGGGATGTTCTTGTGGTTCTCCGGATTCAGGGAAGTCGGCTGCACGCACACACACGGCTCAGCGTTTTTCTTAGGTGAAGGCTTTTTAATGAAAATGTTTGAACACAAACCAGTGCAGAAACTTACAAGCATTTGAAATTTAACATTGGTACAAACTGCTATTTTGCAGCTGGCAAACATTTACAGATATTAAACGATAACTGTACAGATAAGTGTACAGTACATATATTTTATAAAATATACAGGGCCATTTCTTTTAAATTTAAAGACTAACCATACTGGTCAATAAAGTGAACTAATCTGGAAAGGTGCACAGGAAAAATAAATAAAAATGTGAGTGCCCATTCCAGCCAAACCAAAGGCTCTTTATGTCCCCTGGATTTTAGTGGAAGAATTAAGCACATACGTAGATTCCTCCTGTTGAAAATAGCGGGACTTAAAAGTATTTGACAGGCTGGATCTTGCCCTAATGTTTAATTTTTTAAAAGAAAGGTACACAGGAGATTGCAGCACAAAAAGCCTATTGCTCAACAGGCTTTCCAAGTTGTTAGCTGGTCATTCTACTTGTGAGTAACATTCCTTCTGGCCTCCTTGTTAAAGGTAATCATTTTCAAGAGGATTACAGCGTCTGCTATACAAAGGACAAACAACAGCAGACAAAACACCTGCAAATGAAAAGAAAGTGGCTCAGGTTCCACAGGTTCCACCTTACCTTGAGACTTTGGCTAGATTTATTTTTTTAGCAACTGCCACAACTCAGTGACTTGGTTCTAGTTTGTGAATCTTCCACTTAAATATTTTATTTGTGACAAATGAGAAAATAAATTGTTTCTGTATCACCTTCCATAAGGTCATCTCCCACTGTTTCACCCAGCGATCACTTGAATTTAGGCCTTGTCTCAGTCATACGCTGTCTACAGTCTCCAAAGGCAAGTGTGACACAGTGGTTAAAGTGTTCAGCTAGGATCTGGAGACCTGGGTTCAAATCCATACTCTACAATGAAGCTTACTGGGGTGACGATAGGGCAGATCCCACCCTGCATGGTCTGTCCCCACCCTCCTGAGACACCCTCCCCCAAAGGATTCATTTATATGTGTTACTTCCACTGAAGACTCTTGCACTTACTCCTCCGACTAAAGTTCCAGTGTTGGTCTTGATTAATGTTGCACACAGACCCACAATGATGAGGAACAATGCTGCCACAAGACTGTTGAAAACATCCTGGAAAACACAGCAAATACTGTACTTTAGCATTACACTCCACAACTGCCAAGGTACTAAAAATATCTATACTTGGATACAAACCCAGTACACCTTATACAAATGTGTACACCATGATGGAGCTTAATCCAGCCAATACCTAAGTTTAAATACATGTGTTTACTAGAATCAAGCCTGTAATGTTTGCAAATGTGTTGCATCATCAGTCAGGAACAGATGGCAAACTATTAATCTTGAGTATCATGAGAGATGCACACTTCTCACGTGCTCATTCATTCAGTTTACAATACTAAGCAGTGGGTTGTATTTTTAAAATAGCAATCACATTTTAAACTGATTTCATTATCACATGATATCCTCTGAAACGCTTTGAGTTTGCAAACATGCACTCGAACTGTTCCATTTTTACATTTTTAGAAGTATCCTTAAAATATCTCAGCCATGATGTGCAAAATGACTGAGTGATGTATGGCTGTACTCTGTAAATCCAGAAATAACTATGTATGTATTTTTGTCTGCACTGGTGACAAAATATGTATAAGAATTAGCAACCGGTACAAATTAATACTTACAGCTAATGGCCAAAAGAAAAAATGCAGTTTCTTTTGTAGCCCAAACAGATACAGCAAAAAGAATAATGTAGTAATGACAAATTCCATGATTCCAAGCGTTACGAATGCTTCATGACCTCTTACGGCTGCAAAGCTGACAAACGCCATGAAAGCTAAAACCTGTCGGAATAAAAACAGAATAGGTATTTGCTATCAAACTGGTACCATCACAGACACAGGGAAATTTAGTATTGCCATACAACATCACCATGGTATAACGGCTAGAGTTGGACTAGGTGTGGGGAGACCCGGGTTCAAATTCCCAGTTGCCCTGCAGATTCCTGGGTGATGTTGCCCCACTCATTCTCCTTCAGGTTAGCTAGGTAGTTCAGAACAAGAGGTAGCTGACTTCAAAGAAAACATGCACAAATACGTGAAAACGGCCATAAGCTCCTTATGTTGCACTCAGGAAGGAAGCAAATATTTTAATTGTAACACATGTCAGTGAGAACAGGAACATGTGGGCTCTACTGTCAGGAGGGGAAGACAGATAGGTTTTAATATCCCCAGCTGCAAGATGTAAAGATCAGTGCTTTCAAATGTTGTAGGATTGGGCAACAGCACTACAGTGGGCTTCAGAGAGACAGTCAGCCCACAAAGCTAGGATTGGCCCTGCAGAGATCCATGCAACTGGGAAGGAAAGGGCTAAAACAGCCTGTTTGGAAAAGGTGCCCGGAGACCTAGGAAGGCACAGAGCAATGGGTGAGTGGGGGTGACGGGTTAGCTAATTATTCTCTTTTTGGTGTCAATTCGGTGTTGTGATTAAGTGTGGTGGACTCTAATCTGGAGAACTGGGTTTGATTCTCCAGTCTTCCACATGAAGCCAGCTAGGTGACCTTGGGTCAGTCACAGTTCTCTCAGAGTTGATTTCTCAAGAACAGTTGTCTCAGGGCTCTCTCATTCCCACCTACCTCACAGGGTGTCTGTTGTGGGGAGAGGAAGGGAAGGCGATTGTAAGCCACTTTGAGACTCCTTCGGGTAGTGAAAGACGGGGTATAAAAACCAACTCATCTTCTTCTTCTGGTTTTTGTTTCTTAGAAACAGTATCTTTTATACACTGGTGTACCCTAGCTAGTCTGTGCTGGCATTTTGAGTAGAACGTGTTAATTAAATAAACTCCTTTTCTTAAAGGCTGTGTACAGGACAGACTGTCCATTTATTTTACAGGGCAATTTCCTGATGGGCCACTGTCCTAGAGGGCTACTGGTGGCCAGGAGCTAGCAGAGCTGAGCCCCAGCAACTCTGCCAGTGTTGCAGGACAGATCTTTCATTGGTAAGCTGTTCAATTTAGCTTGTCCCAGGACTGTTTACACTTCCCAATCCACACCTGGATGTGCGAGACTGCACTTGAATTCTCACCCACTGGCCAAAGGCTGCTCAGACATGCTACGAATATTCCCCTTCTAGATCACCCAAGGCAGCTGGAGGGGCTTTGGGGAACAAAATCCTTGGCTGGTACCAGAACTGAGCCCCCAAAATCTTGAGTTTTGAGGAGAAAAGAGGAAAACCCGCAAGAGAGGTTGGGACTCCTCACAAAAAAAGATCCCTGGGGCGACTCAGCTCTGTTGGCTACTTTCAAGGATCCGGCGGGGAGAGTGAGTGAGGAACCCGATGCATTTGTGATAGCTGTGATGATAAAAGGGGGAGAACAACAGTGGGCTCCAAGCAGGGGGCTCCCCCTTGACCCCTAACTGGTACGTTGCAGATCATGGGTCCTGCATGGACAAAATTCATGTGAGTTGAAGGCTGTAGTAAAGAGGAAATTAGGTGAGACTGTGTCAAATAGCTGGCAGGATCTAACCCAGTGCATACTACCCCCTGAAGTTGAACTCCTTGGAGGTAGAGTGGGATAAAAATTAAACAAAACAAATCAGCTCCCAAATGTAAAACAAACAGGATATCCCTACAAGAAAGAAATGCACACATTCAAAATTTAGTATTTGTTTATTTGGTCTCTCATTCTGAAAAGTGGACCAATACTTAGTTTCTGATCAATGGACTTGAACAGAACTGGCCTCTCCAGTTGGGGTTATATTTATTGCCTTGACCCAAAGATCTGGGATTGGAACTCGGGGAGCCCTTCCCTGACCCCTCACCTAGGAGTGAGGGGAAAGTAAAGGAGGGTTTGCACTGGGCACACGGGTTTCCAGTTAGGAGAACTAAGTGAGAATAGCAGCCACAAAGTTTTGAGTGTTAATGTACATGTCCCTTCATTGCCAGTACTTAAACAAGCACATCCTTCTCTTTTCTGCCTGACAGAGTTGGGTCATTTCCCTTCAGTGAAGGCAGGAGGGAGGTATTACAACACTAGGGAGGAAAAAAATGCAGAATTTAATGAACTACAGTAGAGAAAAGGGGTCCTACAATAGTAGGGATTTAGGGCAGTGAGAAAAGCAGTCTTTCTGGCATGGACTATGTCAGTTCATGAAAAAGTTATCCCCTCATCCCGTTTTTCCTAGTACTTTACTGGTCTGTTTCAGGCCCTATTAACTGCTACCGTTGGCTGAGGTTCCCTCAGGGAAAACCAGACATCAAGTTGTTTCCTCCCAAAGGGGGGATTTTCAAAACGTTTAGCAAGCCAGGAGATGGTGTCTATAGTTTTTGCTCAGCAGAGAGCCCTCTTGCAGGTGTAATTAGGAATCTGCTCATCTGACAGCTGATTTAAAACATGTTGCTGCTGCAGGCCAAAAAACTCACCTGTGAGACTTTGCGTTTGTGCAGCTTCTCCTTTAGAACGAGTACCAGCTGTTAGCCAAACTGCTTTATCTACAGCAGTTGGCAAATTTTAATCTGGGTCTTGCCAACTATACCAAGGTCCAGTTCACTCCAAAGGATTGCCAGTAAAAGGAGTCGAGGCTGGTGTTTCCAAAATAATCTGTCTTTTACTTAAGAATATATAAATCACATACAAACAATACTGATACACGCACACATTCAAGTAAGTTCCTTAGAAATACAGTGTTAAAATAGTCACTTCTGCATTAGCAGGTATTGTGATGAGGGCTATACTTATCTGTCCTGAAGCTTGTTCGTCCCAATGAAGAATGGAGGGGCAGAAAATATGATGCTAGGGGAATTTAACACACAGCTAGAACCAGCCAGCATGTGTGGGTCTCTTAACTGCAGATTAAGAGAGCAAGTGGAGTCAAGGGTTTGGGTATAGGAAGCTGGACAAAAGAGGAGTTCAGACAGGGGGTGTTGGGGGAAGGCGACTGGTCCTTACCTTTTATAGGTGGATCTTTGGGTGGGTGGAAACTGTGCCAACCTGTGGACCCACCTACCTGTTACTCCATCCCAAAACTGATCCTATTGGTTGCATGTAGTGAGGGGTGGCAACCTAGAGGGTTGGGCAATATTGTAACTTAAGATATAACTCAAAGTAAGGCATCTGGGCAAGTGTGAAACTTGGCGTCAAGGAACCTCCGTGATGTGCAGATGAAGCTTGGCCATTCCCTGGTCATCAAAGGTACATCTGGCCGGAAATGTCAATTCAGATGCAAAGCAGAGATGTGGAATACGTGGCTTTCAACAGTTCAGCAATGGGGGCTGCTTCCATTCAAGTTGTTTGCTGACCATAATGGAGATGTGTGCTGTCTTCATTAGGCTGGTGGCTGTGTATCTGAAACCTTATCAACATGTAAGGCTTAGTGCAGGCACCTTCTATGTGTAATGTCACAACAGGTGATTTGTACAGCTTTCTGAGCCTATGTGTGTATGTGAGCACAGTCCATTCGTGTGTGTGTAGCATTCTGTCAAGAGCTCTCTCAGCCCCACCTACCTCACAGGGTGTCTGTTTTGGGGAGGGGAAGGGAAATGAGATTGTAAACCACTCTGAGACACCTTTGGATAGTGAAGGGCGGGGTATAAATCCAATCTCTTCTCTTCTTCTTCTATGTGTAATGTCACAACAGGTGGTTTGTACAGCTTTCTGAGCACAGTCCATTCGTGTGTGTGTGGCAGCAAATATAAATCCATAAGGCAAATATCAATCTCAGTCCTTAACACAGCAGCATGTTTAAAATCAGGCCTTAAGGCTAGGGATGCCACCTGTTCCTTATTCCTTTCAGAAATGGAAAAGTAGAGACACATTATAATGACAAAAATTGACTGTAAAGGCATTAGAAAGCTGGCTCGTTCTAATCAAGGTAAAGAACAAGGGTCAACAGAGCTCCTGAGCACATGCAGAGCACCATTTCTTCATGCCATCCACAGCTTTGAGTAGCAGAGGGGAAGTTTCCCTAAACAAGAACAGTTCTCTGGAGAAGCAGCATGTACATTTTCTAAGTAAGTGAGAAGCCATGCCAGTATGGTGTAACGGTTAGTGCTGGACTAGGATCTGGCAGGTCCAGGTTCAAATTCACCAATCTGCCATGGAAGCTTGCTTAGGCCAGTCAAGCTTACTCTGTCTTACCTCACAGGGTTGTTGTCTGGATAAAATGTGGAGGAGGGGGAAACAACTTATGCCACCCTCAGCTTCCCAGAAGGAGGGCAGGATGAAAATGTATTAAGACAGCTAAGAGTGTCACTTAAAAACAAACAAACACCCCCACTCCCATGAACCAGTATTTATTCTAATTTATGCTTTCATGGATTTATTCTCAGTAAGAATATTTGAGGGCCCAGAGGTCTGAGCCCTGCCATTTTTTAAAATTAATTTAAAATATCTATATCTCATCTTTTAAAAAAGAAAGTTTCTAGAAATAAAGAGATGCTAGCCAATCTGGAAACACCAGCATCTCCTCTGCACATCTTTAAATCCTGTGAGGGGAAATG